CAAAGCACACAAAAATTCCTTGGAGGCAGGTTTGTTAGCTACCTAACAGTTACCCACCTCTAAAACAGTGAGACACTAAGTGGCTGGGGAGCAAGCACAGAGCAGACACCATTTCTATATGAACATTAAAAAAAAACCAGAAAATTATATGCTTCATATAAAGACCCAGTCTGTGATCATAAGCAATAAACAGGCTACCTTTCTATATGCATCGCATACAAGGATCATTTCCTGCAAAAGCCTGCCATCTGGAGTGGTTTTTGGAACTATCTCCCAAAAGACCAGAAGCAGTTTTTTGATTGTGTGGTCTTGGAGAGGCAGGACAAAACGTATAATGGTCATAAGCAGTCCAGGGAGTTTTTCACCATTTAGAATCATAATGATTACTTTCTTCAAAGCTTCTGTCTTCAACTTGACATCTCCTTTTTCTAGAAAGGATGGAAAAAATAAGAATGCTAGACACAGTAACTATGAAATCAAAAAGTTAAGAGATTTTAAATAAAATATTAATCTTTGATATTAGAAGATACAAATCCCTTAATGAGCGTGATATAAAATAAACAATAAAATTCATTCTCTTAGTTCTGAAAGAATAAAGAGGTAGCAGGAGATACTTGAAGAATAAGCCCACCATTCACATTAAATTACAGTGTTGAACAAATTTTGCCACTAAACAGCATTTTATATCAGGACACTATGTCACAGAGCACTATTAAAGACATACACAATACTAACGTCAGCACTTCTCCAAGCAAGATACACTGATGCACTGGAAAAGTGATAAAAAGATTTATATCACTGTATTGTATATATCTTTGCACGGACTAAGGAAAAAAAAAACAAAGGAAAAAAAAATCACATAATAAGTAGATAAGGTGTTTCTCAAAGCACATCAAAGAGAGGAATTGATACATTTCAGAAGTCAAAAAACTTATGAATTCCAGCAAGTCATATTGATTTTGAACAGTATTATAGTAAAGATATAGTGGGGGAAAAATGAGCAAAATTTAGGTAAGACTGAGTACCTAGGTCATTTTTTAAGCTGATTTCAGAAGGTGGCTCTGAATCCATCGGAACATTGATGAGTGTGTAACACACATTCTCTGCTGCAGTCATTGTTCTTGGTTACAAGTTTTTTCTCAAGAGCAGAATTATTTTGTCAGACAGCCTAAAAGCAAGCAAACAAAATCACCCCAAAGTTAACAGATTTTATTAAGCAGCAGCACAAAAAAAGTTTTGCAACTTTATGATTTCAAGGAATCGCTTGGTTTCTCAAAAGAAGAAAAAAGTCACATTTGAAAGCTTTCTCAATTTTTGTTACATTAAATGTTCATGTTAATATATAAAAAAGTGAAGAACGAACACAATTTTTCGCAAAGTAATAGGCAAAACAAAATAAGTCAAAATAAATCTGCAATCCCTGGGGTACACCTAGAGATACCTGCAGTGCATGGGTACCTGACTATCCCTTAATGGTACCCTCCAGGATACCAGAGGACAAGGCCTCAACCTCTAACTTATATCTGCAAAACCAATCTGAAAAACATCAAAAAGAAAAAAGGAAAGAGCTTCCTTCTCATTTAACAAGAAGGAAGTTGTGAAAATGAGCGCAAGATCCAACAGAACAGAAACTGTGGGCAGGGGGAGACCATGACAGAGAGAAATGCAGGATCACCCTGCTGAAAATCATTCAACCACCTCAACTCTACTCAATTGCTCCTCTAGTTGCTAATAGGAGGAAAGTAAATATTTGTATGGAGAAGAAGTTCCAGAGGATTACAGTCCACTAAAGGATCTGTGTGGTTGACAGTTCAGATAAGAGAATGAACAATTAACTTCAATCCTCAGTCTCATTGTTTGCCTCTCCCTTTTCTAGTCTTTTTTTTTTGATGGTGATTTTCTTTACTTCCATTTCTAAGTAACTGAGAATGCTCAGCTTGAGCTTGCATGATAAAAAAAAAATACTTTTCATTGCCTTAAATAGTCATCTCTGTATTTTTTACAGAAGTTCAGATAAAAAAAACCCTGCTTTCTAAATTACACTTATTGCAATTGATTTTCTTGAGGTCTGACACTAGCAAATCATTTTACTTTTAAAATACAATACTATGTATGACTCAAAATAAAATGATTTAAAATACATATTTGTGTAATTACTGCTTCTTATCAATAATGGGGCCAAATCAACTAAAATATCCTCATCACAGGTGACAATTTCCATTACAGAGCAAAACCCTAACTCTCCAATTTAAGGTTACACTTTCACTGCAGATCACTTCTGATGCTCACAAGAACCCTTGGGCAGAGTCCTAGCTCCATGACACACAGCCCTCAACAACATGCCAGGCTGGAACCCACTGCCTGCGAACACCAGCTCCTATCCCACATCACTGCTCCACCAGTGCTAGGCAACTCCTGAGATGAGAACCTTGGAAATCTACCACCCACTTTATGTTTAACACAGTAAGACAAAAACAAAAAGCAGTAACAAAACCCAGCCCAGTTCCAAGCATGGCCTCTCTGACAAAAGAGCAGGCAAAGCTGGTCAAGGAGGCAGGCGTCTGAAAGCAGCAAGGAGAAACTCCATGAGCCGATACTGGAACCAAAGCCCCTTTTCTTATCATCTGGCCAGCTGAAGAACTCCAGACTAAACAGCAAGCAGGAAGGCTGAGCTAACTTGGGCTGCAGCCTTTCTCGTCTTTTTGTCTCAGAGGCTCAAAAATGTTGGTAAAAAGCATCATTGCTCCCAAGTTATGAGAAAAGAACACAACTAGAACATCATCATATAGTCTACTATTAGAAAAAAAAAGAGTTCTAACACAACATTTATCTTTAAAAGCTTCTTTCTGTTACGAATGTTATACTTTTAATGACTAGATCATCCAAGCTCTTCTTTTTTTCTACAAATAACTATGTGTATCGATTCCAGCGTTTTTCAGAAGCAGCAATTTTCCTGCTTCTGCAAAAGCTCTTGCCCTCTATCCCACTGTCTTTACCAGAGCTCCTGCCTCAAAGCTCTGCAACTACCAGTTGCATCTCTACCAATTGCATCAAACAGACATCAAACCACAGCTGGGAGAACAGCACATAAGGTAGCTTGACTTACAGAAAGATTCCAAGCACAAAAGCTCCCTGAAAAGGCACAGCAAACTAGATCTCTAAAACAGGAAAACATGGACCATCTCTCAGGCTCTGAAAAGCAGCAATGAGAGGAAACTCTTCATATGGAGAGTCAGGAGACTGGTCAGCGAGGACAAGAGCCAATTCTTTTCCACAAGGAAGCACCAAGCCTTGAAACCAGAGTCTGCTCAACCAAAATTTGACCGTACCAGGAACGTCCCAGTTGAGGAAGAAAGTAGATGCTACTCCACTTCCCCAGCAATAAAACTGGGCAATGCCCACACCTGCATAAGGACATTCAAAGTTACATGACTTCAATATATGAACGTGCCTGTGCATTGCACTACAGCATCCTCAAGGAGCAAATGAAATCTCACATAAGTTAAACTCAATAATAGCATGAGAAGTGCAACAACAGCATTTAATTTTAAGTTTTAGCTACTAAAAGTGCCTGAACACAGAATTTTGTACTGAGTTATGTATTTTTAATCTCACTTTACAAAACAGTTAGAGTGTTGTGAACTCCAGAATTGTGTGGAGGATATGGAGGAGTCACCTCATGAACCCAAACCCTTGACCACCCATTTTACTTCTGCACCATCAGGAAAACCGAACATTAAGCTTTTGTTTAATAAATAAATAACCTCCCTACAAGAATGAGCTTGTAGGTTATTCTCCTCCCTTCCCAGGTGTCCATCTTTTGCTTGAAACACTGAGCATGCATGACTAGAATTTAAAGGCCAAAACGTTTAGTTTCCTCGCATGGCTACCATTTAGGAGGGTTTATTTTCGATTCCTCCCCTCGCCCGCCCCACGAGAGGCTCAGAGAGCG